AGGCAGTTTCTATGTCTGGTGGCTTCAGGAAGGAGGACTGCTAATGCTTCCATAGCCTCTCCTCAATTCTCCTCTTTCTCTTGAAAATGGAAAGGATAAGCAATGTGCTTTCAGGGAGAGTACTCCTTGATCTGCAGTGTTTTTATTTCTTTTTGGTTAAAAGTTTCACAGTTAATAATTACTCTATTATTAATATTGTACTTATACAGTAATTATTGAGTACATAGCAGAGAGGGAGAAAAATATCCTCAGTGATTACATCTTCTTTTACTCTCAAAGACTTTTTACAATTAAAGCATCAAATCAGATTTCAGAATGCATATTTTTTAAAAGTTAATTTAAATTTATATGCAAAGCACGTATCACAATGATAGGCACTATTGGTGTTGTTGGCAGTTGATACAATAGTAGCTGCTGTTATTATTATTACTAGTACTGATAATGGTGATGATGGTGGTGACACTGATGGTGGTAGTGGTGGTTGTTATCATTGTTAAGAAACCTGAAAAGAAGCATTTTTCTTTGGACAACTATAATAGTAACATGGAAAGCTAACTAAGTACTGGGCCAGTACTATTACTGCCCACATTTTTAAGAGAATCGAGGCCTACAGAAGTTAAGGAACCTGCCCAAGATCACAATTCAAGGAAATGACAAAGACAGAGTAGAACCTAATCTGTCCGGCTACAGAACAGGCTCTCTTAGGCTAGCTTTATCACTTATGCCATTTGGTTATTAAAACACCTACCAAAATGATCCAACTGGGTAAATGGATACTCTGTAAAATACTGCTACATTGCCAACCACCAAAAAAAAAAAAAAATCGAGGAAGAAAATTTTTGTTTGCTGATGTGTCCTCGTGTCTACATATCACAGCTGCCAAGACAAGGCTGAAAAGAGAGTTTTAACTTAAGACACGGGGCTGATAGGCACGAAGCCAAACAACAATTTAAAAAACGAAACAAAATAAAGAAACCCTCCCCACCCCACATTAAAAACTCACTGTAAGTATTAGATAAAAGAAAAAGAGGAACAGAGGGTGAAATACCTAACAAAGAACAACCACATGCACACACACAGGGGAGGAGGCACAGGCCTGGCCTCAAGACTTCGAAGTATCCGACCAGTTGGCAGCGCGACCAGCTGATTTTGGGAATTCTCTTGCCTGTACCCTTTTGCTCCCCATTGCTTCTGACTTTGGAAGAGTCAGTTATGTTTCCTTTGCTGTGGCAAATCTAGAATTAAAAACATCCTTATCAACTCTCTAAAATATTAGGAATATTTATATATAACTCTTCCTATTTTCCTTCAATCTTTCTCCTCTCTAAATAAGGGTTTATTTTCATTTAATAAGGACAAGAGAAAGTTTTCTAGAGCTCAAGTAATAAAGAGCAATTAATTTGAGAGCATATCTTTCTTGTCTTCTTGAAATGGAAGAAAATCAACAAAGCCTGTCAAATGAAATTTTCCTGAAACACCAAGCTTTTGGCCAAAAACTAAGACTCCCCACTAGTACAATGTAAACATTAAAACTTTTTAAAGCTCAAAAGCAATTTATTTTTCAACAGCACCACACATGATCAAAGCAGGGTAGGGGTTGGAAGATAAATATGCTGTGTCACTAGTTTGTGCATCTAAGTCAAAATCCAAGAACCATTTCACCTTTCTTCTTTGCTAAAGGGAGAAAATCACCAGGAACTAGCACAGAGTTAATAATGGGATTTCTTATCCGTGAACAATGGAATAACTTCAAAGGTGGACCTTTAGCCTTTCTCCAGAGCACCAAATGACTGGAAATCTTGCCTCTTCTTAATCTAGTACCACTCCAACAAGTTATCTTCCTTTCATCATGGAAAATCTTGAAAACCTACATTCTCCAAGAGATCTTTTTAGTTTAATAAAGAAGTGCCAAATTATACATGGAAATCACATAATCTCAATCCTCTCCCCTTATAGTTTAAGGAGCATAAGGACAGATACCTATACACAAGTCAATAAATACTGCGCTGAATAAAAACATTAAAACAACATAAAAATGGGCAATGGCATTACATCATCACAGAAGATATCATAATCCTACGAGAGCATTAGCAATACTCTGATAAAGACAAGGGAAAGTATCCATAACCTGCTCAGACTTGGTAGAGTAAGAGGAAGTAGCTGACTCTATTCCAAATAAAAACATAACTGGGCATTTAAAAAATGATAATGATAATGTAAAGAATTACAGAACTGACCCCACACTTCTTTAGCATAACTGTGGAGTTCTGCCCTTAATGGTTCAACACTAGCCACAGAAGGGTATGGTTCAGAGGAAGCTTGTGTAATATATGCCAAATATCACATGCCATCATATTTAGGCATAGACTAGACTACCAGCCTTCCTTTCCTCTGAATATCAAAGAGATAGCATAACAAGTAATCAAAGTCAATGTGAATAAATTTGACTTCAGGCAGAAGATGGAAAAATACTTTTCAGAATTAGTCATTAAATCAAATCGTAACAAGAGAGCCAATGTGTGATATCCCTTATGTACTTAGATATTTTATGTATCTGGCTGACATCAAGTTTATGAAGCTGCATTACATTGCTTTTCTATATTCTTTTTTTATTGTAAAATCACGAAAGGATAAACTCCATTAAATATTTTGTTATAGCACTACAGACCTCTGAGATACTAACAGACACTGATATAAGGAAGTGTCTAAGAAAAGGATAGTAAACAATATGGGCTCTTTCTGAATCACTAATTAATTG